GGCAACCACTGGCAATAAACATCCTTCTCCATACACACCCCAGAATACAGTTGCTACTGGGCCCAGGTTGGTAACTACTGGTTTATCCCATCCCTGTTATTTATAACCATCATCGTCATCCTACCATCTTATTCTAAAATAGTAACAATTGAAGTGAATGGTCTTGTGTTGTATCCCTTATCCCCCCTTTGCTTGTCTGTATGTTCTGTACATACATTTTAAGCATTTAAGTATTCCGGTAAGTTTGTGAAGTGCTCAAATCAGGCTAAGTACTAAAGGGCCAGATTTTCCCCGTGCTCAGCATCCAGTTGGGTCTGGATTTTTGAAAGAGCCCAGCAGTTTACTGACATTGTCAGATTTTCAAAAATGCTCAGCTGCTATTGAGTCTTCTGGCCCCTTCCTATAAGCATTTAAATAGAAGCTAAAAGTGCAAAGATCTTTTGAAATCTGGCCTGAAATAAATTGGAGCTTTTAAAATTAATTTTTGTTTAAAGGCAGACAGAGGCAAAGTGCTTTATAAGAAGGTAATCTAGATTTCCTTGAATTCCTGCCCTTTTTTGGGGCCTATCATATAAGAGGAGGTAGTTGCTGGGTTCTTTCAACCCAAAGCTCTTGGTAACTTTTACTCTGTGCGAGGTGGTGTCAGGAAATAAAATCAGGGGAGACCTGGCTGTCTGACTGACAGAGTGGCTGGCACAAACAGGACAACACAAAGTTTAGCTTTCAGTGAAAGCACTCTTACTTAGTCTCAAGCACCTACACACATCCACAACAGGGGCACGTCTTCACTACCTGCTGGATCGGCGGGTAGCAATCGATCTATTGGGGATCGACTTATCACATCTAGTGAAGACGCAATAAAATCAATCCCTGATCGCTCTGCCGTCAACTCTGGAAATCCACCGCGGCAAGAGGCGGCAGTGGTCGACTTGCCGTCGTTCTCACAGCCAGGTAAGTCGACCTGAAATACGCAACTTCAGCTACGCTATTCACGTATCTTAGGTCGACCCCCCGCTGTAGTGTAGACCTAGCCCAGGTTACTAAAACACTCCCAACCCTCAATAATTACCTAAGCTGAGTGTGGCTCTCGAGTGGCACAGCGGCAGCCCGTCTGCTGGTGAGGAACGTAAGATGCATCCAGACGGAGAGTCCTGAAGAGTCCAACTATCTCAAACTTCCCCCCCTTATTTATACGTTAGTAATACAATGACATGTCCCTTAAAGAAAACTTGTTAAGTAAGCAGTTTCAAAGGTCAAGCAAGAAGTTTCCTTCTGATTATTGATTAACCAAGTGTGGTTTTCCCCCCAGAGTTTGCAGCATTGAGACCCTGTCAGACATTCCTGAGGGCACAACCTGTTCTTCTAAAATGCACATAACTTCAACACAATTCTTATCAGGAAGGCCGCAGGCTCAAGCTGCCCTTTTTGTGGCACCCAAAACCCTCTCCCCTCCCCTCCTACCTTGGTTAAGCTAAGCCTGCTGCATGGCCACTTTGCAGCCTGCTGACTTGGCTGCTTTTAGCAATAAGCAGTAGTGGTTTCAGGCACTTTACTGGTTTGCCAAAATCTCCCTGTACAGTTGCAACAGTTGGATTTTAGAGCATAGCTGATACCTCACCTGTGTCTCCACATACTTCTAAAGGCCTTGGACCTAAAAGTTTAACATGCTGGAAGCAGATTCTCCCATTTTTAAAAATTATTTTGCATAAACAGACCCATAGTCAAACTAAGAACAGGCTTTTGCCATCTACATTAGAATCTAATTTTGCATTAATCTAGTTAGTTTATAGGTCTCCTGCTAGTTAAGATACTAGGTATTTCAGAGAAAATATATTGTCATGTGAAAAGATGGAAATAGATCAAACTCATCCCCAGAGCTTCTCTAGACCATCTCTTTCTACTTCATCCCCTGCAAGCATCTGCTGTAACAGGTCTCTGCATGGCGTTCTCATCTCAGCTGTATGAACAGCCCCATAGCACTCACTCTCTCCACAGTAGCATAGGGGGCTCTCTGATGGATGCTAACAGTTCATTTAGACTAGACTAATAAATCCTAAAGGCAGCCAATCTACAGACTCAAAGCACAATCATTAGACTGCAGAAGAAATCACTACCTACCCTATTTTCTGATGAAGATGTGCATCTTTGGAAAATAGGGCCTAATTCCCATACCGCTCCCCTAAAGGAAACCCCATTCTCAGCTTAAACGTTCTTTTCCTGAACATATGAAATACTTGTAATCATTGTCTTCACCCCACCCCCTTAAAGTCCTTAACAGTTCTTACAGGACACAGACACACACTTTAGAATGGCAGAAGAGGATCTTGCAAGCTATCATTGGACAGTATCACATGATGAGAATTGTCATGAGTTTGCTATTTTACTGAGAGGACTGTCGTTCACAAGTGTTATTAGTCAGTACAATAGCAAGTTGGGTCTCTTCATATTTTATTCATTAGGTTCTTCCTCTAGGATAGTAGCCCAGTTTACTGTATTTTAGGATTTTCTAGTTGAATACAGTAACTCCTCACTTAACATTGTAGTTATGTTCCTGAAAAATGCAACTTTAAGTGAAACGATGTTAAACAAATCCAATTTTCCCATAAGATTTAATGGGAATGCGGGGGGTTAGGTTCCAAGGAAATTTTTTTGGGACAGACAAAAGGCATTATATACAGTGTACAGTACTGTACTGGGGTGGGAAGGTGCCCTGGCTTACCCCATGGGGCTCAGGGTCTGAGGGAGTTAGGGTGCGGGAGGAGGCTCAGGGCTGGGGCAGGCAGGAGGTGCAGAGCACTTACCTGGGACAGCTCCTGTTTGGTGCAGGGGGTGTGCAGGTGGCTCTGCGCAGCGCAGCACTGCCCCCATGGCCACGTTACAGGAAGCTCCCCCCCTCGCCCCCTGGAACGCAGGGGCTGCAGGGCCCTGGACTAAGGGGGCCCCGGCCTGCAGCTCTAAAGCCCCTTTCGGAATGCAGCCCTGTGAGCACGGGCCGGAGGACTCAGGAGCAGGGGCAGCCGCGCAGCCAGCTGCCAGAGAGAAGCGGCACTTTCCTCTTCAAAGCGCCACTTCTCTCCAGGCGCTGGCTGCGCGGCTGCCCCTGCTCCTCCTGAGTCCTCTGGCCTGTGCTCGCAGGGCCACATCCCGAAAGGGGCTTTAGAGCTGCAGGCCAGGGCCCCGGGGCCCCTTTAGCCAGGGCCTTGCAGCCCCTAAAGCCCTTGTGTTCCGGGGGGCCTTGCCTGTTGGGAGGAAGGGAGAGAGGGGGAGGAGGCGGAGAAGAGGAACTTGTGCAATGCTCCCTTGTAAAGTCAGCCAAACGACATCATAAGGGAGCATTGCACAACTTTAAATGAGTATGTTCCCTAATGGAGCAGCGAGGTAACTTCGAAACAATGTTAACATCCTCCCGCTTAAGTGAGGAGTTACTGTATTGAGAGTTGCTACAAAACCAGAGAAGTCATCTAGGTCAAAACTACCAGATTAGAAACCCATAATCAATGCCAATAATCAATCTGATGGAAGCTGAAGCCCAGAGCATTCCTACACCCTGCTATCCAAGGATCAGTCATAGTCAACACAAGTGTCTCTGGCTAACAAGCACTTACTAGTGCTATCAAACTCAGTTGAAGACTAATTTCTATGGGCAGTAAACTTAGTCACTTTTCGCTAGACTAAGGAAGAGCTACCCTCCACCAGCCAGCAGAGCACTGCTGGACTCTGCACAGCACTCATTTCCCTCCCACCTCCTGTAGGTCACACCCTCCAATTGAGATAAGGAACTACTAGAGGTGGGCTAGGAATAGTTTATTTATTGGATGGCAGGGACCCTCAATAACTGGTGACATTTCCATTAAAAAATATATATATATTCACCACCACAAGATGGTAGAATCACCTGTAGTGAATAACTCAAGTTGATCAGTCATTACACTGAAAACAACATTTCATT